TCCGGTTTATCCATCAACCACCCAGGGGAGAGATAAAAAATAAGAGAGATTGAAAAATAGAGAGATGTGCGTTGAGAGGAAAAAGTGAGAAAAGGGCTTTTTCAGAAAACTAGAGATTGAGTGCCATAGTGATGTGAGGATCACAAATGAGAAATGGTGAGAAACAATACCCGAAGAAATATGTTCCTCATGAACTGAGAGGTCTCCCACTAGTGGTACACATTCGAGTGTTGTGTTTGTTGTTTTTGTTTGTCTCGATTCTCGTTTTGAGTCGTTTGGTGTGTTTGTGTTGTTTTTACCTTGTCTTTCCCTTTGTTGAGTCGTTTTGGCTGTGGTTAGTCGTAGGCTCAATACCCGGTTTAGAACTCATTCTCAATTTTAATTTCAAAAATAAATCATTTTGTGCTCAGAGTGCTGTGCCGTTCTCCACATTTGTGCAAAACAAAATTCTTTCTTTCATAAACTGCAGGGTTCAACCCAGGTCATGTAAGAATAACCGAACCAGGACCTATCTGAAGCTACATAGGTTTCGAATTGCAAAGCAAAAGAAAAGAGGAAAAATTTGGAGCATCTTAGCATGTTTCAACTTCAACAAAGTCCGAGACTGCATTCTAGGTGCACATTCTCAGGCCTCGCCCTTCTCTGGAGTATGAGTGTACCTCGACCCCAAGTTTAAGCCTACTTCAAGTCAGATTGGCAATTAAAGTAGCATGCAAATGTTACCCCTCGCCAATATGAACAGGGTGTGTCCTTTTTGAGTTAAGCATGTTGCAAAGTCCTCCAAGAGGTAAATTTGGAGGCACCAAAGTACATATTTGCCTCCCTTCTTGCATAAAATGTGCACTTTCATATACACTTCTGTTGCATACGTGCCGCGCATCGTTTATGATTCTTGCATAGAATATGCTTTCAATGTTGCATAGAATATGCCTGTCTCTTGTATAGAATATGCTTTCAATATTGCATAGAATATGCTCTTGTTTCATGTATAGAATATGCTTTTGTCTCTTGCATAGAATATGCTTGTTTCATGCATAGAACATGCTTTCAATTAACATCATGCATCTATTTCACAATTTCGTATCACTCACACTGTTTTGTGTACCTTGTGGTTGTGTATCACTTGCACTGTCTTGTGCACCTTGTGGTTGTATCTCACTTGCACTGTCTTGTGCATTCTTTGGTCTAAGAGACCTTAAAATCCTACATTTACACTCACATTTTCTTGCACATCACACTTTTTTTTGTGCAGTTTACACTCGCGCTTTCTTGCGCATCGCACTGTCTTGTGCATTTCATTTCATGCTCCCATACTTGCATAGAAAATGCTCGTATCTCTTACATAGAAAATGCTGCCGTACTTGCATAGAATATGCGTTCTATCGCGCTATTTTGTGCACCTTACCTGCACTTGTTAGTGCGTTGCATCGCACTATTTTGCACACCTTACCTGCACTTGTTAGTGCATTGCATCGCGCTATTTTGCGCATCTTACCTGTACTTGTTAATGTAGTGCATCACACTATTTTGCACACCTTACCTGCACTTGTTAGTGCATTGCATCGCGCTATTTTGCGCATCTTACCTGTACTTGTTAATGTAGTGCATCACACTATTTTGCACACCTTACCTGCACTTGTTAGTGCATTGCATCGCGCTATTTTGCGCACCTCACCTGTATAGCACTGTTTGTGCATCTTGTTAGCACTGTCTTGTGCATTCCAACCTGTATCGCACTGTTTTGTGCATCTTCTTAACATTGTTTTGTGCATCACATTGTCTTGTGCACACTGTGTTTTTGTATCACTCGCACTGTCTTGTGCACTCTCGGGTCTAGGAGACCTTAAATCCTCTAAAGTTGCGATTCCTTTTTTGTATGAATCCTGAATTTTCAATCAAACCCGCTTCACGTAGCGTATAAGTCCAATTTTCAAACCGGCTTCGCGTAACGTATAAGTCCAATTATCAAAGTCTTTCATATCATTTGCATCCTGCCCCTGAACTACGCTGGTTTGATTCATTGCAAAGGGATACGTAGGCAGCCTGCGGGCAAAACCATTTATTTATCGGTATTTTGTTTGTTTGTCCAAGTCTTCGGCCTTGTCAAA